ACTTTCATTCTCTCACAACTGAGAACAAACGCCCAGGCAGGCACTCACACATTTGAAGCAAGAGACAAGTGGGAGCCCCTGCTGTCCCAGGCCACCAGAGAAGCACGAAGGGCCCACACGTGGGTTTCTTTGCTTGGTCCGTGCTTTTGTTTGGTTGGTTGCTTCCTTTAAAGAGAGGTCTAATTCACGAGGATCTGCAAAGGCTAGGTTATCAAAGCAGATCTTCCGAGACACATAAAAGTAGCCTGTTGCCTGGGTGACCTCTCTCATCTATCTCCCATCCCAAGCCAGATGGCGTGCCCATGCCTCTGAACCTGTGCTCTCAGGGAGACCAAAGAACCTGACCACACTTGGTGGGAGTTCAGAATCTTCAGGTCAGTTCAGTTGACTGTTGTGCTTAATTAGAAATTTGCTTTAATTTGGATGCATTCCTTTAGCTGTTAAATTGGTACCTGGAGCAAGGAACGTCAGCGTAAACATGCAGTCTCCCTGTGGCCAGGTCCCCTCGTTCCTACCCAAGTTCAGCAGCCAACTCCAAAGTCAGTTCCCTGGACGCCCCCTTCCACATGTAGCCAGTGAAGGCAGTTAGTGAAGCACCACCCCAGCCGCTTTCTCTTACGCTTGAGCCAGAAGCCAGAAAGCCCCCATTCTCCACTCAGAGCCCCAGGTAAGCTCAGTCCTCTCACACGGCCCAGGCCCGCGGGGGGTGCATGCCCACAGACAGCAGAACTCGGGTGGAGGACTCTTCAGGAGCCACTCCCACTCTACCGAGGGGTCCAACCCCAGAAAAACAAAAACACAAGGTAGGGGGGTAAGAAAGGAAAGGGGAAAATAAACAACTATGATGGTTTTGCCCTCCTGGTAAGAGGTTGACCGAGACGTACCTTTTGACCAGGACTGCAGAGTGGTTCATTCCTGGGACTGCCAACAAGATGGACGGTCTTCTCCATTGCCCCAGGGGCCTTGAACAAGTGTGGCTTTGGTTTATTTCAGGCGATGCTATTGGAAACATAAAACAAAGTGCCTGGAGGGCACTATAAAAAAAAATAGAAGAAATACAGGAGACTCGATCATCCAACGGGAATTTATATGTTTGTAAACAGGGAAAAGGGGGGAGGGAAATACACTTCAGGTATCAGTCTTTCTTCCAGAAGTGCAGCCTCGGGTTGTTTTCTGAGTCCGTGACTTTCTCCTTATGCTCCATTCCTGCCTTTGGAAATTGCTCTTCACCAGGAGGAAAGTGAGGAAAAACCAGCAACCACAAAACAGTGGCCATGCTGATGAAGAGGAGGAACCGGGAGGCACTGCTCATGGGGCCCCCTGTGCTGGAGGGAGGCCGCGCACAGCGGCCCGGGACTTCTCGGACACTGCTGACGTTTTCTCGCAAGCAGGGAGGAAGATGGGAAGGTCAGGGATGAGACGTGGGGAGGGGCCTGCCGTGGGGAGCCCACGCACGCCGTGGGGTACCGAGAGTGCGACCACCTCCCGTCGAGGAAACCCTGACGGGGTCTCCTTGAACCAATCCCCCCCCCCCCCCCCGTGGCTTTCTTCTAACCAGATATTACTTCAGTTTCTTTGATTTCCCTTCATTCTCTCTCTCAAAAAAAAAAGTCAGTTTCTAGTAGTTAGAATATATAAATAATAATTTATTTAATGTAATTGGTTCTTTGTTTCCAAACCCCAATATTCCTCCTCTCTTCATTTTGCCAATAAATATGAAAACTGAGGAAATCAACTCTGTTCCTGTCAAAAAGACCCCTTCCCCCACCCCCAAAAAGAGATATTCCACCTAACCTCCCACTTCTCTGGAAAATAAATAGCACATCACGAAGTCATCTCTCTGAGGGACTACTTGGCTCTTTTGTTCTGTTGTGTTTCAGTAGTTTGTGCTTCTGCTGTACATACTCAAAACAGAGGGAAAGGGGCAAGGGATGCGAGGAAGGTATGAGGAAAAAGCAAGGATGAAGAGGAAACCTAAAGTCGTCTTTCATTTTAAAAAAATATATCAAAACCAGAACAATGACCAAAGTCAGAGGGTGATGGCTAACTGCCCCGAGTCTGTTCGTGGGTTTAGCAACTGCCCTTTTTATCTGCTGTGGGCGAACCCCGGCCACTGCGGCGTCCTTGGCAGGAGTGAGGCTCTTCCAAATCGTCCTCATCAAAGCCGTGGAAAGTTGAGGTGTCACTTTCTGACGTGGAACCGAATAAGTCCTCCGTGGTGCGTGCTGCGGCCGCTGCCTCCTTCTCCTTACTGCCTTCTCCTCCCAAATGAGCTGACATGTATGATGAATATATCAGCACATGGGTTAAGCAACAGACAGCATTATTAATATTCTTATTATATTATCACAATGTTATTCTTCATAGCAAGATCATAAACCATTTCACACCAAGAGATTTAACAGGTACACCTGGCAACAGGGACATGGGATACAAGGACAAAGCCAACATTTGCAGGGGAAGGATTCCTCCCCCCCGGAGAGGCATCGTGTCCAGCAGGATGTATCTGTCCATAGCTCTGACCGTGGGAGACTCACCCAAGACACGTCTTTCTTCTCTTCCAGATACACATACACACACACATTCACTCCACCCCCCAGACAATGAGTTTACTTGGTGGCTTTTAAGTCTGGTTGTATTTTTCTGGTGTTTCCCATTGGTGTTTCGTTGCACAATGTTTGTCCTTCACTTTGACAGTCACCTCTACAAAGGTATTACTGTCAGCCATTCAAGGTGGTTAAGCCTCCCTCAGTTTTATTCTTATTTTTACCTGCCTCTAATCCCATGCTTTCAAGTCTGCCCTTACACCATGGAGGTCATTTGCACTGAAAGTAAACAGCAGCTGAAAACTCTGACACGTGGTAGCTATTAAGAGCCCCTCGTTTTCTTTAACCCCTGGACAGTGTTACTGTGATCTGCACTCAGGCACATGTGCACGCACACGCATGCACGTGCACACGCACTCACACACACCCAGGCCTTTGTTACCCCAGGAAGTCCACAGTTGTCAAATCTAACTCAGAGCACAAAGTGAAAAACAGGGTTTCCATCCTGAAATCTGCAAAGCTCAGGTTTAAACTCCTGCATTTTAAATGGACCCAGGAGTGCTCCCCAAGCTCCCGGCATGGGTCATGACCTGCCTCGTCTGGTGCTGGTACCAGGAACCCCCGCTTTGTCCCCAGGAGGCAGAGGAACGGAGATGGACTGGCTCTTCCAAGCTCCACCCTGTCCCTGAGAAGGACCCCAGGGAGGCCCTTGTCGAGTATTTGCCCTGCTTACCAAGCACACCCCATGGGCAACGCCACATGTTCGTTCCCAAAGTACCAACTATGTCAGGAAAATCAGAGTCAGATCTTAACTAAATGATCCACCCAAGTGGCCCCTGTGTCACAAAGCACACACATCCTGGGAAGAAAAAGCTGCGTACAGGCTATGAAGAAAGAGGCTTTGGATAGAAAAAACCCACTGCCCACTTCTGGGCCCCCACGAATCCGATGCAAGCACCTCATCCTCTGCAGGGAAGGCAGGGGGACGTCACAGCAGCCCGCACCGAGCGTGCTGAAGCCGCCCCTCCGGCCAGTCCCCCAGCAGCGTGTCACTCTGCCGAATGGCACACCCCGTGTCACTCCGCCTCTGGGGGGTCGCTGGCTTTTTAAAAACACTACATTTCATTTGTTTCATTTTCTTTCTAAATATCTACACCCCAGAGCCCACTATCCCATGGACTCTCTTTTCTAAGCTGGAACCGGGAGAGTAAAAAGTTCCACCTGAGGCATCATGTTTGCAAGGTAGGCAAACTGACGGCACCGCACAGGTGGTGGCACCGCACAGGCGGCCGCCCCGTCAGGGCCCTTAAGCATTAGATATTGTGAGTCATATGCAATGGAAACCAGTCCTTTTTCAATCACTGCTTTGCTAGTCAAGTCAGTCTTGAACCCTAAACAACACTAAAGGCATATTTAAAAAACAAAAACAAACACGGCTAAGGTTTGTGGGCAAAGCAAAGGAAGACCCGAGCTGCTACAGGAAGGCCAGGCATGGCTGCCTCAGCCCTGTCCTTGGGACTCGGAGCAGAGGGGACCCGGGGCAGAATGCGGAAAGGGGCAGCGACTCCCGGCTGCTGGAGCCACCACCCGACTGAACTGTATTCCACCTACGGCGTCAGTAGTTGACAAAACCAAATATGAGTGTGAAACCTCTCCTTTGGCCTAATTACCATGTAAAAAAAAATCCCAACCAACCACAACCAGCCAAAAGTAATAGCTTGGTTAGAACTGAAAACAACCAATAGCTTGAATAAAACTTGAAAATCTGAACTCACTTTATGCATGAAGGAAAAAGATCAAAGTCTTTTTTTATTTTAGTCTTCAAAAATGAAAATTTAATTTTAAAGATGAAAATTTCAAAACATGCCAAGTAAACTTCAGACTTGCCCTACGAACGCTGGCCCATTTGTCCTACCAAGGTCTCTTTTTAGTTCCACATCAGAGAGCAGGACGAGTGGCCAAGGGACGTGGCATTTACGCCACCACCGAGGAGCTCAGGGGTCTCTGGCTCCCACGATTCAAGATGTGGCCATTCTCCCAGTATTCACGTTTCCATATCCTTCCATTGCGGCCCAGGCAGTTCCACAGAACAAACATGTCTTTTTGTTACACGCACATCACCCACCACGAGAAAGAACGCTGCCCGGGTCCCCAGGTTTTTCCACGCTAGCGCACGTCGTCCACAACACACACAGAAATAGCCACTTCGTGAAAAGGCCAAACGCCAAGTCCAAATGTTCCCCTTTTCCTTTTCCCTGGATCCCAAGGCATAATTTTTGTTTCTTCACACCCAAAGAAGAAAAATAGCAGATGACCTGGAAACCCCCCTCCACTTAAAATCGCCACCACCACCACCTCCCCCCTCCACCTGCAACCCCCGCAGAGGACGGCAGAGGGATGCGGGCGGAACCGCCCTGATCTAGGGGCACAGATGCAAGAAGGGGCCACACTCACCAGAGCGTCCACAGTCTGCACAGGACACCAGCTCCTCGGGCCGCCCACTCTTCTTGTTCATGTTAGAGCCCCCCAAGCAGAAGTCACAGTAGTTATTAGGAATGACTGTCCCGTCTGGTCCTTTCTGGGCTGTAGAAACATTTTTTTTAAAAATCCAATTTTAGGCTGAGATGAATTTCTACCAGCCCCTCTTCTCCCACAGTGTGGCAAAATCTGTTCCAGAAAGAATGGGAAGTGTAGAATCTGAGCTTTTGTTACAACCAAATTATTAACCTGGGGCGTTTTCTTTGTAACCCACCTCGGTGTAACAGAACCACTGTTTTGCAAGTTGCCCCAAGTTTCGTCTGATTTTTTGCAAGACTTGCCAGCTCTTTGTTTTTATAGAAACAAGCCTGCTCCTCCGACTGCATCCCTTGAGGAGCACAGCATCCAGAAGGCCTACTGGGCGAGTGAACTTCTCCCACCCCTGAGCAACCGCTCCTCAGGCCAAGGCCCAAAATAGCAGAGGACAGTCCAACAGCGGTGTGGCTGGAGGGAGCAAGAACGGTCAGTGCCGAGGCCTGGCCCTTGGGAAAGATGCTCATGTTTAGGAGATACTCCTATGGACCCTGAGTAGGAATCAAAGCAGCATTCATTGACGACGGTCATTTCTAGAAAGGCCACTGAAAATGCTCTTGGGGACTCTGAACAACGTCCTGGCAGGTACACAGGTGCTCACTCTTCTTCAGCTCTATCTCCCAAAGTCTGGACTCACTGGTCAGGGAAAGTACTCAGGACTAGTTTAATCAGCAGAGCCCAGGTGCCTAGAATCAGACTGGACACTTAGCTGCACCTCGTGCCAGGGATGGATTAACAGTGAGTTAATGAGCATGTCTTAAGGCTGAAGACCCTCATAATCCCCCCACGGTGAACGTCCTATACAAAAGCGAAGAAAAGTCTGGGGCCATGACCTGCAAACCAGAACCTTGTGAGAACAGCAGGTTCCCTCGAGCACCAAAACCATTCTGTCTCCATTGCCTAGGTGTGAGGCCTTGGACAGGTTCTTCGCCTGGCAAGAAACACCATTTTCCTGTTTTTCTATCCCCATTGTGGACATTTCTGTCACATCAACACTCCCTGTTTGTGACTAGGAAAAAAAGTCTCTCCACTTATGGGATCAGCCTAAACCACGGGGGCATCTCCTCCTTGCTATACCCACTGTCCGCTATCTTTCATTATTCACTGGCTAACATTAATCAGGGTCCCGTAGGGCACAAATCCGTAAAAGGAGGCAGATATGTGAGCAGAAACACCATCCAGGCAGTAAGTGATAAACGGATTCACCCACTTTAATATGATTCCCTCCGGCCTTCGCTTCCCCCTGCCTCTGCTCTGCCTCCAGGAATAGAAAAACTTACCTGGGAAAGGCAGAAGACAAAAGCTTGCAGAATTACATTATAGTGGGTTAATTCATTTATCAGTTGCTATTTGAATGATTTAATCAGTTTCCAAGTCATTGATTTTCATCTTCAGGGAGGCAGAGAAATCTCTGCCCAAGGAGTGCTGGCTGTTTCGGGGCAGAGAGGAGCTGGCCACGCCCTGTGGCCTGCTAAGTGTCGGCTTTTCTTCATCGGTCACTGTATCTCAAAGGCATCTGCGCGTCATACAGAATGGTTTTGCAAATCTCCAAAAATCAGTACCTTGGCAAAAATTTTACTCTGCCTATAAAATTTTCATTGTCCAAATCCAGAAGGAAGTTCCTTTCTTCCTCCTCTCTCAATTGCCACCTGGACCATTTTTAGAACTCTCAAGCAAGCCCGGGCACATCTATGATGCAAATAAACTCAGGGTTTCCTTACTAAGAGGCTGCTGTCATGGAAATGAATCAAAAGGTGAACAGAAAGAAGTGGGGTATATTAAATTCAGGGGCCGAGTGTAAACCAAAGTTAAATTTCATGATTGGTATAAACCAGACATAAAATGTGGAGATGCCAGTCACAATGTAAGTGCTTCCTGCATGAAAATCGAATCATCTCATGTGTATCATCTCATCTCCCTAAAACTCTCAGGGGGCCCTGACTCACCATTTGTCTCTCTTCTGTTCTCTTAGGGACTCTCTTTTATGTCAGATTTCCCCCCTTTCACAAAGTCTTTAAGCAACCAATGAAGCTGGTTTTCTCCAGCACCGTATCACTTGTGATTGATGAGGATGAAGAAGTAGAATGCAGAGTATAAGGACTCCCAGATAATTCTTTCCAGTTTTTACCACCAGCGGACCATTGGTAGAATGCCCCATTGAGTCAGAGACTCCAATACTTCGAGAAATAAAAAAATTCAGAAATGATCTAGTAGAGCACAGCAGACAAAGATTGGGAAATTGATCCTATATAAAAAGACCAAAGGAACAGAAATTAATTCCTCTGATGAAGAGGCATTTCTGAGGAGACTGAATCAGAACAGGGTCCCCACGTGTATTTGTTAGCCATACAAAGCACTGGCCAAAAGGGGTCGAAAGGTGCTAAAACCTTTGTAGGCCCTGGTGTGTGCAGGAGAGCAGGGGACGGGGAGTTCCATTTTAGCACAGCAACGACCCCGCACAGGAAGTGATACTGAAGAGCTATGCTTCACTTCCAGCAAAATCCTTTCTGCTTCAGTTCCTACTTGCTCATGATAGTGAGCTCAAAGCTGCTTCCACCTTGGGAAGAAGGCACAGAATACACTAATCAATCACCTTTGCATTTGGCTCTCATACATTTACTGGTATTTAGGATTGGTTTCTCCCACATAGCTCTCCCAATTCCCTGGCCAGAAATGACCAGTCAGGCTTTGGGGAGGGCACTCTGCTGACAACGTTTCTATGGATGCTTCTCTTGTTTATACAAGCATGCACCTGCCCCGTCTCCCACATTAAATGACCTACGCCGTCGTCAGGTCAAGGACCATGTCGAACACATCTTTGGAATGCCTACATGTCCCATGCACAGGAAACAGTTAACAACGTGTGAGAAAAATGGCAGAGATGTAAGTAGGCAGCACAGCGATACCACCCCTGGGACCTCCTAGCAGGGACAGAGCATTGTGTTTGCTTTCCCCGGGACAGAGTTATCTGCTGTTCTGAGTATCATTCACTGCCTGGTTTACTTCCCTAGTCCTCACAGAGCAGAGCTGGTCCATGCCCAGAGAGGCTGGCCAGTCATCCGGCCCGGTGTCACGTCTAACTCCCAGAGTGCACAGAGTGTGTGGCAGAGAGCCCTGGGTTGCTGGAAGAACACCACTGTGCCCCTACTAGAATAGGTGAAACACCATCCTACACACAGACTTCCAAGGAAAGTACACAAGACTGTGCTTCACTGTCTCTTAAGAAGGGGACACTAGGTTGCACCTACTCACTAAACCTCTCTTATTGAACTGCTTTTTGAGAAAAAGCAAACATCTGTTACACTACAAAACTAATGGATCTTACATTGGATGTTTCACACTTGTCATTTCATGATTCTCACAAGAAATTTTCTGACGCAGGGATCGCTGGGCCGATGTGGTAGCCACCAAAGTCCACAGAGACGGAGGCGGCTCTAGGACTCACCTCCAGGTCGTCTGTCTCCAGAGACTCTCAGCTAGAATCACCTTCTCTGCCTCCTGGGAATTCCAGAGGCAGAAACTTTCTGACCATACCTTGCATGTAAAATATGTCATGAATCTCTTTAGTGAACCTGGTTCCCTTAATTCGTTGTTTAGAAATCCCAAAGCAAGAAAAACTGAGGTTGGCCTGATAAAAGAGGAAATTCCCTTTGAACTCAAATTTAATGTTCCTATCACAATGATATCTCAGATGACCCCGTTTATTGTCATATGCTCTGCAAAGACAAGAAACAAAAACCACCTCTCCAGATAATCCGAGAGGCTTGTGAAGGAATTTCTTTAAGTAAAGCTCACACCATGGCTGCACTGGCCTATGGCCTAACCCGGCCACGAGCAATTTCGTGGTGCCGTACATGAGGTCATTATAAAAAGGACTTTACTATAAATAGGAAGCTTGCCCAGACTTTGCAAGTGGGATTTAAATAGAGATTCTGCTTCTGCTTATGGGAAATTGAGTCCCGCTTTATAGAACAAGATGACAATGGGGGCAAAGGCCAGAGTGGTATCTCAGTGGCGGCACCCACAGTGATGGATTCAGTTTTCTGTTGATTAACGTGCACGGGCTGAGATTGTGTAAGAAGAAATAAATACAAGGAAGCTGCTGAGAGAAATAAAGTGAGCCTTAAGAGTTGAGGGATTTACTTGGGGCAGATAACTTTAAAAAGCTCAAAGGGGGGAATTAAGAATGGAAACGAGGAACCAAATTCATGAAGAAGGAGGGGAAACTTTCTGACCATATCTGACCAGAAGGTGGAAGGCAGCATTCACATAAATCAAACCAAGAGAAAGCAAGGCCAAGCCTCATTCTGGGAAATGCATACTACAGGGCTTTCTACTTTAATCAGGCCACGTCTATGGCAAACAAGGCCCCAAATCTTCCATAAAACTACCACCCAGACAGGACTGTCTTTCTCCCGTTCAGCCTGATCTCTGCTGTGATATGCCCACTATTCATGAAAAGACTGAGTGGCAGGGACAGTCTGGCCGCTAGCAACAGCCCCTCATCTGGCTCTTCTAAGAACTGAGCCGTATCCCAAGTGTCCTGGGGAAACAGGAAATAGACCATTAATGTAGGCTCCTCCGTGGCACATCCACAAAAGCGTGACTTCACATCCTGAGCAGACCTCCTGCCAGGGCCTGGTGTGTACAAATACATGGCCGTGCTCTGTGCCTGCTACACGGTCCTAACCCAGCCTGAGTCCAGCGGCAGTTCTCCTGGGGCCTGCTAGTTAAGTGTGCAGCCTTTGGGGAATCTGGGGGCAGTGAGAAGAACCCTCCAGGAGATGTGCCTCTCCTCGCCCCTCTCTCTTGTCCCCCCACCAACCTCCCTGGCTGACAGTTCCCATCCTTCCAGAGGTCTGACATGTTTCCATGGCAACTGGAATCCTGGGCTCTGGCAGCCTCTGGTCTTGCCACCTGTTATTACTTCATCTCTCAAGTGTAAAGCATCCTCGCCTGGTGCACAGCGCAGCTACACAAGATGGAGGAAAGAAAGGGGGCAAGGAAAAGGC